AAGTGTGCACCATGTAAGAGTAAATGAACAGTTTTAAAAATGTGCTAATTTGCCTTTTGGCAGAACTTACACAAGATGTGACAGATTTAGTTAACACTTAAAATAAATATATGTTTGTTAAAGTCTAATGTTACAACTAATCCCTTTAACACAAGTCACAAAAAATGAAGTGTGCACCATGTAAGAGTAAATGAACAGTTTTAAAAATGTGCTAATTTGCCTTTTGGCAGAACTTACACAAGATGTGACAGATTTAGTTAACGAGGATTTGCTGACCAAGGGGTCAGAGTAAACAAAATGCTCTCCTTTTGTTGTATGAATGTTTGTTTGTAGGGATTCCGCCTCAGTGTATGTGTGTGTATTTCTGTGTGTCTCTGTGTTGACGGTTCCTGGGTGTAATTTGTCGGAGTGTGTGTTGTGGCGTACCAGGTTCTCGTTGGTGAGCCGGGTGATCTCGTGCTGCAGACTGGCTTCGATCCGGGCCTCCGGAGGCAGCTGCAGGTTCTGGGCCAGTAGCTGCTGCTGCCGGTTGTTCTCCTCCTTGACGTTCTGCAGCTCACCTCGCAGCGACTCCACCTCGTTTTCATAAGTTCTCCTCTGAGTCTGAAGCTGGTGCTCCAGCAACCTGAGTGGGAAAGAGAGAGAGAGCAGGCGGACTTTAGTTTCACAACATTAGAAACACGTTGAGGGTTCAGGAGTGGAGGGAAGGAGAGGAGTTTCCACCAGAGTGTAGTGATGCAGGACAGCAGCAGCATGCTGACAGCAGCATAGTTTTCCACTGATTCTACTGAGATGTTACTTTCTACTCCTCTAAACAAGCAAAATCAGCAAAGCWGCAGAAGGAAGAACCATAAAATGTAAACCTTGAGGTGTAAAAGTGTTCCTTCTGTCTTTCTATCTACTCTTGTTGCAAAGAGCAAAGTGACATTTTATTTTGTAGGACTTATGGTGCCTGCAGTGCACAAGACAAACCACCAGCAGTCCTTCAGGAAAAAAGGATGGCTCCATCGCACCACACGTTTGTCTGAATTATTGTTTTGTGTCGATGTAAAGGAAAACGTTACAAAAATAAAAGTTAGAAGACAGACAGCCAAAGGTCTGAATCAAAAAGCATCTCCGCCACTACAGTTATCAGAATGGAGCACAGCATGAAAACATTAAAGATATTAATATAATTAAAGAAGTTTTTAGTTATTATTCAGAAAATGAGAGTATTTAACAAMCCACCATGACAAACCAGGTTAGTAAAGACAAACTCTACAGCAACATTTTCACAAATAAAACAGATCAAAACAAACTTTAAATATATTTCTACATAGAAAACCAGACTTAGGTTAAATTATAAGCATAATAAACACTGTGAAAATGCACATAAAAAATAAAACACAGCAGAACATTTGTGCTGCTGTGAAAAGCAAACATCATGTTGTAAAATCCATGTGTTTGAAACACAGTTACACCTGATGGTCTCCTTTAAGCCCTGATTAACCAGCCACAGCTCCCCYTCCTCGTTCAGCTTGTGGAGGTCCGGAGCAGCAGATCTGACCCCCATGAGGCCCAGAGGGYCAGGATGACAACAGAAAAATAAGGAATGGTTGAGGGTGGACACAGGTGCAGGAAGACATGAAGAACACGTGTGTAAGTGGAAACCCTAAACTGAATCAACCTGGCAATAGATTCAGTTATTTTATATAGTTCTTAATAAAACCTGTCTCTGTATGATTTCCTTTAATGACTGACTAAAGACAATTCAGTCAATCCGCTTCATGTTATAGAACGTGATATAAACTTACTTTAACAAGTAGATTGTGTGCATTTACATAAAAAAGCAAACATCTAAGAATGCAGACTGAGTAAAAAAGGGTTGCAGTGGTGCTCAGTAAAACTTTCATCTGATGAGTTACACTGCAAAGCTGCTGCCTTTATTTCATCAAAATGTTTTGTTTTTAATTAAGTGTTGTATACAACACTTAATTAATTAATTTAATTAAGTGTTGTATACATGTTGTATACATGTATATATGTATCTTTCTCTGACATGTTGGCACAAGTGAGATGAACCAAAGTGATAACGAAAGAAAGGGGAGGAGGGTTTTAGAGTTTTATGAACCATAAATGTTCATAAACTTGGATGTTTTAACATGAAAACGTAACAAAAAAAAAACTCAAGAGGTGGATTTCATGCGGTATTAATGCCAATCTCATTCCAAGAAGCAGAGATAGAAGCTCTTCCACAACTGTGTCAGCTGCTGTTAACATGTTAGTAAAAACTGAAAGTGTTGGGCTCAAATGTTTTCATGCTTAAACGCCACACAGCTGCTGCGGCACCAGCTGGACTGGAAGTAAAGATATCGTAACCACTTTCTTCAWAAAGCCTCTAAAGACACTGAAAACTACACAAGTCTAACTTTGAAGCAAAAGAAACTCCTCAGAGTTGTGTTAAATCTAAGACTTTTATCCATGCCAGCAAATTCCCCTCATGCACACCCTGAAATTCTTTTCCTAAAAAAAGCTACAGAATCATTTGCCGTTCAGTAAAACCTGAACCGTTCCTCACACTGCAGGGACAGAAAGTGTCCGTCAGCAGTGTGAAACCATGCATGCTCTGCTCCACSATGCATGGACCGCCTCTCGTCAGTTACCTCAGCCTACTCAGGAGATCACTGACTTCCAGCGGCGAACGCGCGAACCTGGGAGATCTGACAGGACACACGTCTCTTACACAGGAAGCACACACACACACACAGTGGAGCTGAAATATGCTCAGTGGAGTGGAGCCGCTGAAGAGCTGCAGGATAGGACGGGTGACGGTGAAACGGCATACCTGCTGGTGTCTTTGAGGCCGATGTAAGCTTGTTTTAGCTCATCGGCGTCTTTCAGCTTGTTCACGTCTTCTGCGAACACCGAAGGCTCCGTCATCGTCTCCTACAGGCGACACAAATACAATATTAGTTAAAGACGTCAAACAGAAACAGGGATTTAGYAAAAATATCTTTAACAATTAAAAAAGTGACAAAACTGCATGTGGAGTGAAAATAGTGTGCATAAAGTCGCATCCGTTTTTTAAATAATTCATGCTGTAGTAGAACTCATACAAGAAGCTCTCACTTTGTGGTAAAACCCATCTGTTGAGTCAGGATGTATGTCTGCTGTTTTATTAAGTACAGAAGAAGGGAAACTGATGATAAATGATCCCCGAGCTGAAGATTTAATGATGCTGAGTGAAAACCACGGATCAGAAACACAACAAACAAWACAGATGAGGCAGGTTAAACACTTAAATTAAATCTCACCGAGGACTGAATGTGGTGAGTGAGAACATCTGGCATGTGTTTCCTCTTCTCATAAATCAGTGTTTGAGCATCCAAAACACTGATTTAACTGCTCTTTTCTCTCTCTGTCTGCTCTGTTCACATCAATGTTTAAACTAAATTATCTGTTTTCTATTTCCCTCTGAACATTATGCGAAAAATAAAGAAAACAGACCTGTATCTTTGTTTTATATGATAAAAAAAAGACTCATTAATCATAAACTGCTGCTGAAACATTTCAGTTTGGTAACTTTAGAAGTTAGTGTCAGTAGCAGACATGAAYCTGTTGATTAATAATTAAATACATCCATTAAATTTGATGTTTTTTCTACAGGTGTGTGAATTTTTTATGTGATGCTAGTTTAGGTTTTAAAGGTTTTCTTTTGCYCGTGTCGCACAAGATGAGACAAAAATAAATAAAAATGCATGGATGATGCAATAGTTTAACTGTACCTTCTCATCCTGTGGAAAAGCATGGATGAAGGAGAGAAGGTGGAGACAGGAGAGTTAGACACACGGCTGAGAGTGAAAACATTGGCAACACACACTGTTAATGAGCAGCTGCACGGTTTTAGCCTGATCACTGATTCGATCAACAGAAAGGGAGTTACTAAAACCTTTTTATTATTTAGAGAAAAATAATTTAAAGATAATTTTTCAGATKATTTTTCCTTGGAGGGGTATAATTGCTAAATAAACAGAGAGAATGATGATCATGAAACGYCACATAAATGTAAGCAGGTGGATGAAAGCAAGCAGAGCATCATCCACCTACATTCATCTTCACAAGTAACCCAGACGAATACAAGTCAAGAGGACAAACTGATTTAACGTTACCTTGTGGTGCACCGCCTCCTTCTGGCTGACCAGCTGTGAGCGCAGGATCAGCACCTCTTCCTTGCGGACCTCCAGTTCCTCACAGGAAGCGTTGAGCTGGTCCAGAAGCACCTTGTAAGCCGGAGAGCCCGGGGCTCCGGTGTTGGTGGCGGCGGCGCCGAGCAAACTGCGCCTCATCTCTGCCAGGTCGTGTCTCAGCTTCTTGTTCTCCGACTCGAGCTCCTGGCGCTACGAGGGTTCAGAGTCCAACAGTTAGTTACTGTTAAAGCTCAGAATCAAATGAATCCACAGGTCGCTGGTGGACACAGATGTTTGACATCTGTAAGGTTCTTACCTTCAGGGACTCGTACTCCAGCTCAGCTCCACGAGCCTTTCTGAACTGAGCATCATCCTGAAACACGCAGTGAAGAAGAGACATAATCTGATGATCTGAGCAGGTGTTATCTATGTTTTAATCTCATTTATAAATAAAATGATTTATTTTCATGAGAGCTGGGAGGCTGGGGGACGGTACCCTGGCTCTAGCCCTCTGGAACTGATCCTCTTTGTTTTCCAGTTCGTCTCGCAGTGACTGCTTCTCCTGCTCCAACTCTGTGACACGTTTCTGCAGCTTCAGAGTCAGTGAAGTTTCCATTCCTCGCGTCACATCCTGCGTGATGAAAGAAATGACGGAGCAGAGGTATTTACTGTTTCAGAAAAAAAAGAAGTCTAAATCTTGATCCTGTCCTAAAGAGAACRAGTTCTTTCTTTTTGTTCATTTTCTTACGTCTCCGGTGCGGGAGCCTTCGTCCGGTTCGGTGTACTCAGATTCGTTGCTGCTGTGGGTGGAATCTGTCCTCCTGTGGCCAGGTTTGGAGATGTTCTGCAGACACCAGATTGGATAAGTCTTCTTATTAAAAACAAAGATTATACACTACTACTTGTATTAAATCAATACAGAGGCCTTCGACGCTGCAGGTAAATGTAGCCCAAATCTGATTATTTTTATTTTTGACAGTCTGAATGTAAAAAATACAATTTATTTTAAGATCCGATGCAGATATTTTTCATGTGTAGTATTAGGAGCAAGATCAAACGTAAACAATGAAAAAAACAAGCAAAGCAGATAATTGAGAAAAAGCTAATCTACCTTTGTTTTTAACAGTTAACAGTTAAAACTATTTTTTCCATTACTTATACAGATGGTGAATTTTCAMCTTATTAAATACAAGTGAAAATATGTTTTGTTTACAAAGTATTTTCAATATTAGCTATAGAGAGAAGTACAGCACAATAGAAATTCACATATATGTTCTGTTCAGTTACTTGTAGGTATAGGTACTTGTATACAGAAGTACAAAATAATGTTTTTTATATTGCAAAACGGTTTCAACAACAAACAAAAACATTTCTCAAATTTTAAACAATATCAAAATAAAGTGGATGTTATAACCAGTACTTCAAGTAAAATTAGTCATTCAGACATAAAAAATACTAAGCTGGCATAAGTTGTCTAAAATGTTATAGTGTGACTGGACCTTAAGCTGCACAGAGTCCTGTCATAAAACTATTTCAGATAACTGGAATGTAAGTGTGGTGAAGCCAAATAAATGTAATARCTGCCTGCCATACYATGAGCTTCTGCCTGTTGAACTGACCCACTGTCTCTCTGCTGCGCTCTCATCTTCATCATCAGAGCAGAAGCACACGTTACATTAGCAAGATGGATTTATGACTGATTTTTCCTCCAACAAGTTGGGTGTGAAAAAAACAAGTTGTTAAAGTTTCGCTCTGCGCGACGTGCAGTGGGCGGGAGGGAGGAAAAGACCCCACTACGACACCACGTAACTTTTCTACAGRGGGACGGGGAAARTTTGAGGATTTATTCTCTCTATYTGTGTTTTAAAATGCTGTATTTCATCATTTATTTTCATTATATTTTGAACTCCTGCTCAGTTGTCTCTGCACTCACAGCCCTGTTCACACAGGTGTGATGACGTAACTGACAACAGGACGGTAGAGGGTAAATTTCTACCGTAGGCCAACTTCTTATCGTTRCTACCATCTATCACATGTACCACTCAGCCCTAGTTGCAGGAGTAGATGTTTTTTGTTCCAAACTTCCTGGTCGTGTTTTTCTCACCGAGTAGTGAACCATCTCCTCCTTCAGGTCGTCATATTTCTCCTCCAGGCGCAGATGTTCTGACAGCAGGTTCTGGTAACGYGAGCGCTCCTCGTTCAGATCCGTCTGCAGCTGACGAGTCTCTTCTGCAATGGCGCGAGTCATTTTCTCTGTCGGGTCGATGGGAAAAGGACACAAGTTGTTTWGGGATGACTGAGTGAAAAGTCTTGATGCTTTTATTTAATGCAGGTGYTGAAACGTACCGGTCATCTGCTGACTCTGCTCCTGAATCAACCTGTTCAAGTCGTCCTTCTCTTTCTTCAGCAAACCGTTCTGGTCCGTCAGCTCGGACACCATCTTTACACAGATTTAATCCTTTTGTTAGWCTTTGAAAGAAGCTGGTGGCTCTCAGCCTCTCAAATAAACAAACTAAACAGATACTGCTACAGAAAAAAACAAGGTAAAATTCAGAAATTCAAATGATTTTTTTCCTGAAATTCAAAACAATTCATTTATCAGAGAAATGTTTCACTAAACTTGTCAGGAAAATATATATTTTTTCTGTTCATCAAGTTTAAAAGGAGTAAAGAAAAGACAAAATGGAGAAACAGAAACTCACTGACAGAAAATCTGAGGATCAGAGGACAAAAACAAAACAAAAAAAGTGTATCCTGACTTACRTTTTCCATTTCGCTCCTGTACGTTTGCGCCCAGTCCTCGATGGTCTTCTTCTCCTGCTGTGTGACGCTCAGCTCCTTCCTCAGTTTCTCCAGCTCCTCCAGCAAGGACGACACCTGGTTGGTTTTGTTTCGGGCGTCTTCCTCCGCCCCGCGCAGCCGGCTCAGCTCGCTGCGCATCCGCTCTCCCTCCACGGCGTAGGAACTCTCCAGACTGATGAGCTTCTCGTTGATCAACTTGTGGTCCTTGTTCTATGAGGACACAGCAAATAAAACAAAAAAACACGTTTTTTTAATCTAATAAAAAAGCAATCCATTTGAGACGGAAGCTCGGGATGTTTACCTGCTCATCGATCTTCCTCTGCAGCTGCATGATCTTGTTCTCCATTCCTTTGTTGAGCTTCTTGAAGTGCTCAACTGAGCGAGCCTCGATCTTCAGCTTCTTCAGTTCCCTCTTAGCTCTCATCCTGCGAATGCAGCACTGCAGGTAAACAATGGCCTCCAGGCAGCGCTTGTACCAGCACCGAGCCAGCCAGCCACGGATGTGCTTCTGAATGATAACAGCCTTGTGCTCCCGCAGCAGCTACACACCACACACACACACAGGGAGACACGTTAGAGCGAAGGAAACACTGAGGATTGTAGAGGAGTCTGAAAGCTTCAGGTCTCACCGCCTGGTATTTTTGCCGAGCCATGTATGCTCTGAGAATTGTCTGCATGGCCAGAGCAGCGGCCTGCTTCTGRCTGTAGCGTTTCTTCTCCACGTACATCCTCTGGTACTTCTGGATGACGGTGGCTGCCTGAGTGCGACGCATGAACTTAGCAAGGCTGCAGGGAAGCAAAGTTTAGTTTAATTTCTGCATTTTCCTCTAAGAAATGTAAAGTATATTGTTACAAGATAAAAGAATGAAGATGTCTTGTGCCTTTGGTTAATTTGGTGTTTTTATTGGCCACTCACCAGCGGGCCTGGTAACCTCTGGTGAACCTCTGGATGGTGATGGCAGCGCTGCGTTTGCGCAGGTACTTCTTGCGAGCCAGCCAGCAGCGGATGGTTTTCTGGATGCGGATGCACGCGGCGCGCAGCTTGTCTGCTCGCAGCTTCTCCAGGTAAGCCACCTGGCCAGCCCTGAAGAAGATTTTAGTCTTACCAAACTGATATTTGTCATGGTCCTGAGGAGCAAACACAGGCCAACAGTTAGTGCAGAAAACAACAACTTTGAAACATGGAAAAGAGAAATTGAATATTTAGGAGGAAAAACAAATTGAAAATGGTTCAGACGTCAACTAATCTCTCCAGAACGTGTTTGCAGGTCAGCTTCTTGTCGGGAAGCACATCTTTCTGCTTCATCAGTACTCTGTAACGGCTGAAGAACTCCTGGTACGTCCACCTAACACACACACACACACACACACACACACACACACACACACACACACACACACAC